CCAGGTGCGTATTTAAAAAAATAAGTTGAAGGTGTCCCTGGAAATACGGAATGTCGTAATAAAAATTTTGACATGGCAGATTATAGGGAACTTGATTTATAACAAAAACTTCGTATAATATTTGTTTGTATCTTTTATAATAACAACGCACGATTTAAAAAACGAAAATGAGGTTTTTCGGATTTTATCAAATATCTCCGGAACCAGTCAGAAAATCTGGAACTTCTACGGACCATTGTATTATCCGTCAAAATACAAAACTTTTTCCCCATATATCCGACAATGTATATCTTACAGTTTACGAGATCTCTGTATATGCAAATTAAATCCGGTCCACCCCGTATACAAGGTATTTAAGACTTATTTAGCAATATTTTTAAGGGTGTTCAGATATAGTCATTAAGGTAATGTAACTACATCCAGTGACTTTCATAGTTATATGCACAGATATGGATGAGGGGTGATAGGAAATATCAATATCATCTGGCATGTACAAATGAAAGATAATACAAACTTACCTGAAGTGAAATTCGATATCAAATAAATGAAATGCCTTGTTCGAGATAAGCATAGCTAGTAGTCCCCTTTCTTGCTCTGCGTTCACATATTCTAAATGCTTTAGGTGCTTTATTTCCTTAAAGAAAGTGATACCACGAAATACCTACGATACTTATTTTTGACGTCCTGCTATCAGATATTCCTCGGGCGCCAGTTTTATCTGGGTGATTTGCTCCACAACCCTCTGATGCAGCTTGCAAAGAAGCTCACGCAATTTCAGTTGAAGATAACGGAAAAATTCCAGGGGTCAACGTTGGTAACAGACTCTAATTTTGAATAAAAGTATTATACCGAGCTTTAATCAGGATTAATAGGTGGTAAAATTTTCAGAAGCTGAAAAGGGGTAATTCGGGTTGTTTACAGTTTATGAACCGCAATATAAGCCATTCAGGTAAAATGTATACATATTATTGCTTACCAATACTGTTTACAAATATCAACTATTTATTTCAAAGTCCATCGCTTTGTAGCCCTGATCTCAGTAAATAAACGAAAATGTTCGATCAACAAATAGAGAAATAATCTAGATAAATCGTCTCGGAAGGAAACCTCAATCACAGTATCGGTAAATGACATGTTAGAATCTAAACCCAACCCGTTGTAATATAACAACATTTCAAATGTTATTTAAATCAAACAACTATTTTTCGTTCGCTAAACACTGGGAAATTTGATGGAAATTTGGCTTCAATAAACTAAATTTCCAGCGTACTTATAATTCGTAAACCAAAACCTGGTACAAATTAATAAAGAGAACATAAAATATATTCGGTTTATTTATATTATTATATTATAAGAAATATATTTTAATTTATTATTGTGAAGCTAATTTTAATTTGATTGAACTGAATACTAAATAATTAAAAATAAAATAAGCAATACGGCCAAATTGAAAGTATAGAAAGTTAATATTGAAATTTAGTCTTTTAAGCTTAATGGTGAAATGGTGAGTAATTTCAAACTGATTATGTAGAAATTGTTGCAGGGGATTGTTATGTCTATTGGATGCGATATTCTTGTAAGGACTGACAATGAGTCTGACTTAACTATTAAGTTTCTTGAATTAATTTAGGCCAGTACAATATTTATATTTTATATCGTCTTTAAAAAACTGTAATGTAAGTTTATAAAATCCTCAGTGCTATATCAGTCTGACACTGTTTGTCAGTACCTCCAGCATTTATAGATAGGGCAATTTTCTTCTTCAAATTCATTAAGGACAACCTACAAAATAATCAATATTATTCATATAAAATTGTACTATGGTCAAGAAATTACCCTTGTTTAAGGGTCGATCCTTTCACTTCTGAGTAAGTTACATGTAGGTTTACTACAGATTAACAAAACAATAGCCCTATAGTTTAATCAGCAAGTTGTTACTTTCAACTTTACTCAGAGGTGAAAAGACTGGCCCTTAATAAAATATATAATAAAATTGTCAATCTTTTTTGAAACTTCGTTTGTCTTTTGTTGGAAACAAAAAAAATTTGTTCAATGAGTTGGGTATAAAACACATGACTATTCTGTATACCCTGGAACAAAAAACAAAATATAAGTTACAACCGTAATTTGGAAATAAACAAACATAACCTCAAAACTAATAGTATTTTTTTACTTTAGACGTTCTTCGGTAACAATCGTTGAATTGACACACATACTTTTAATTTATTAAAGTGGCAGTCATATTTAAACTTAATTTTCAATAAATATAATACACAATTAAAATTGTCCATAATGTTGATTTTTAAAATTTGACAGCTTGATTGAAATTGAAGATAGAGAATAAAGTTGGTAGAGAATATATAAACACTATTTTGGGATATGACAAGTGGAGGCACTTTAAGTTACATTTTGATTAATTTTATATTTTATATTTAAAGATTGACGGAATGTTCTAATATCATTTAAATCACACTATTTTAAAAAATGGCCTTTATTATCACCAAAACTGACTAGCTTGAGTTTGACATAGTTATGTCCTAAAAGGGTAATGCAAAAGTGCAGACACTTTTAGTACCGTCATTGCATTTCTATATCTATGATTTGAAAGATTCGTATGCCCCGCCCTACTTTGTGACGTTACTGTTGTGTTTAGCGCAAAATAAGATGATTTTAGTGATTTTAAGTAAGTCACTGTTCGTTTCACCGATCTGTAAACGTGTTTACATCTCTTTTTATGTTATTTATTTTAAAATAATAAAATAATGTATTTTTATGAAATGTAACTGGGTGTTCACTGCAGAAATGAACCAATGGATTCCAAGAAACTGACACAAATATAACTTTCTGCAATAAAACAACATTTTTAAATTGTCCCTGATCGCGAAAAATCTTACACGCACACAGAATATCACAAAACTAAAATTATAAAACGAACGCACCTCTGGTACAGCGAACATCACAAAACTACCATTAAAACAAACGCGCCTCTCACACAACGAATCGCATCTCTATGACAGCACGAAACGACAAATCGCCTGTTAAGTTTTCATTATCAGATAGAGTAAGTGTTCTGTGATCAGATAATCGGAACCAGATTAAATTCAACTACACAGTTTATTGTGGTTCGTCCACTAACATTTAACGTCAAATATAACCTAACAAAAGATCATATTTAGGAATTACAACAATAAAAAGAAGTGATTGATTAACTAATTAATTAAAACAAGAAGTAAACAAATTCGTTGAAATTGTCTTTTCTAAATAGCATTCCAAAACTTTAGGTAAACATAAAGGTGATTTTTTCTTGAAATATGGTATTTGTAGTAATGGCAACCTGTTTCTTCTAAAAGTCTTTGTCATTCGATTTCTAATGACACTCTCTAACTCAGTAAAGACAAAGTTTGGATTTTTTGAGTCGTTATCAATATTTAGAAGTGTATCAAGTTTGTAGGTCAGGTGTTCAAGAGATAGTAAATCGTTAGGGAATTGTTGGTAAAGATGATTCAGATTGGGTTCCAGATGGGGTGAGAAGACGTGTCTCATTTTGCATCTTTGTGGATGCCATCGCCATATCCGTTTAGTAACATTGTTCATATTTTTGATAATTAATAATAAAGATAAATTGAATTTACCACTTTGGCATGAAAAGAAAGAACGACATTAAAGTGTATAACCGAGGACAGTAGAACGTATACAGAGGTGGGAAGGACTGGCACGGGCCAGTTGTTATTTTAAAACTCTCTAAATACTTTTGAGAGTACCTATTTAGACTTTAAAATAAGCTACCGCATATCGGGAAAGGGAGGTACTACCTATGATCATTGAGAACAAGGCATGGAATATAATTTAAGGTAGCCATTTTTTAAAAAGAAAAAGATTCAAGCGTTTGCGCAGATTACTCATTTAAACAATTCGAAAATATTTAGGATTTACGGAGCAGAAGTTTAGTTATAGAATCACACTTTTTAGAGTAACTTACAGAACAAATTTTAACTGATCTCAAAGGAAAAATTCTAATGGTGTTAAATGTAGAGACCTTGGAATTCAAGAACTGCCCACTAAACATGAAAGATTACCAGTATTTTTTTCAAAAAACTTAAAAATAAGAAATATACAGAATTAATAAATCTAAATCCGGGCCTGGACTTGTGTATGAAAAGTTAAGTTCAATAATATCTTTTTTGTCGCCTTTCCTTATGAGTCGCGCTTCATTGTGTACCGGTTATTGTAATTCAATCGCGTGTGATTTCAACAGCGTGTTTATCTGAAGTAGTGAATTTAAATTGTTCAGTATGATAAATTATCACAACAATGTTGTTTATTTATGACAAGTAAAAGTAGTGCAACTGCTGCATCGTTGTTAACACTTTCCGTTGCGAGCCCATCCTAGTCCCAGAACGTTAATTAATTTAGCTTATTGGTCTAGGGATACGCGTGAACTGCGGAAACATCGTGGACGACATATAGGAAGACCGAGAAAACATAAAGTGCGTTTGTGTTGAAGTAAATGGTGACAACTTTAAAGACATTATTTAAGATAGACAGGACCGTATTTTATAAATTTTAGAATAAATTATTGTAAGTTTCTTATTTTTGAGTTTATTTAAAAAAGTTATTTAAAAAAAATAAGGTAGGATTCACCAAACGAATACTGATGTCACGCCTCATACTCTTGCAAACTTACTTAATATAATTTTATTAATTTTAGATGAACAAAACTAATAGCTTCAGATTCCCCTTGAAGCACTTATTTATTATTGATATTTACCAATACGATGATTTTCTGGAATCTCTCTGTAAATGCAATATTTTAGCTAGTAGTGAGACATTTGTGGCTGTTCTTAACAAAACAAACATAGAGATATTTGAAATATATAAAATTGGAAGCGCTAGTCAATGCTGTAAGCAACCAGTTATATTAATTCACTAAAAATCTAAAGTTATTTTAATTGTCGAGTTTTCAAATAAGAGCGCTGTATATATATTTTCTAATATTCTAGCGTCCTTACACTTTGGAAATTGGTCTAAAGGAAAAAAAGTGTCTTACTTTTCCATAAATATGCCTTTAGCTCGAAGACGAAGAAATTTTCAAAAACATGAAGTTGTTATTCTTGCAGTTGTCAATTCAAATAAAAGCTTTTTAATAAATTTTGACGATCCTCCGTAAGTATTTGTTTCATATAGATTTTATTTATTGTAAATATACAACACATAACCGCATGTTTCTGCCAAATTACATAGGTAGGTACTAGTATATGGCCAATAACTTAATGCACCAACAATCAGTTCGTTGCGGTAATACTGAGCTTGTGCATTGAGTCATTTTATAACCTCTCTTAAGCTGTCAGGACCAACTGGGCAGAATCGATTAGGATCTATTACATTATTTAGTACCTATTTTGTACCAATTTGTACCACCAATAAAAATTTTATAAAACAAAGGTAGAATTAAAAAGTCCTGAATTTGTATCAATTTGTACCACCAATCAATTTTTTGTATTATGTACTATTTACAAAAAAACACGCGGTGCTTCTAGTTTAATATTAAGCTAGCAGAACAACATTAAAAAATAAAACAAAAGTAGAATTAAAAAGAACTAAATTTGTACCAATTTGTACCACCAATCAATTTTTTGTACAATGTACTGTTTACAAAAAAAACACATGGTGCTTCTAGTTTAATATTAGGCTAGCAGGACCACATTGAAAAATACAAAGGTAGAATTAAAAATCTGATGTGTCCAACACATGACTTTCCTATCTAGTTATTATAGGCTTTTTCCGGTTATTTTGTACAACCTATTGCAGCATCTCTATAAATGTTTAGAGGATAAACTAAATATATACATTGTCCACATACATCTACCTCGAAACATTTTTCTATAGATATTCATGGAAAACGAAAATACTGAAAAATTAAAATTTCCTACAATTTTTTCATTACGGTCCATTTTAGAAAAATCATGTATAAACAAAAATTATAGAGATCGATATCGCAAACAACTTTTATTTCAAAAACTTTCATAAAAATCAGAATTTTGCATATTTTGTCAAATTTCTCGAATACGGACCATTTCAGGAAATTTTTACATTGAACAAAAATTATAGATAATAATAGAAGAAGTAACTTTTATTTGATTAATTTTTTTGTCCAAACATTAATAACAGATATATTCCATAAAATATAAAAGTGGCCTCCCATAAAGTACCCCCCCCCCCCCCCAGATGTTCCGACTATGTCCAAAATCTAATCATTTCACGTCAGGCCGAAATAAAACTTAAGTTTAAAATTTAATGTTTTTTTTTATCCGTTTTTGAGTTTTCTTCAAAATTCGAAATTTTCTCATTTTCTCAAATATCTCGAATACGGTCCATTTTAGAGAAATTATGTATATAATAAAAATTATAGAGAATTATATTACAAACAACTTTTATTTGAACAATTTTTATAAAAAAATATTTTTTTTACATTTTGTCAAATTTCTCGAATACGGACCATTTTAGGAAAATTTTGTATAGAACAAAAATTATAGATAATAATATTAGAAGTAACTTTTATTTAAAGAATTTTCTTCTCCAAACGTAAATAACAGATATATTCCATAAAATATAAAAATGACCACCTATAAAGTACCCCCCCAAATGTTTCCCAAAATCTAATCAGCTCATTGGACGCTGAAACAAAGCTTAAGTTTAAAATTTGGTGTTTTTCTGTGTATCGGTTCATGAGTTATGCGTTATACAGACACACACACACACACACACACACACACACACACACACACACACACACACACACACACACACACACACACACACACACACACACACACACACACACACACACACACACACACACACACACACACACACACACACACACACACACACACACACACACACACACACACACACACACACACACACACACACACACACACACACACACACACACACACACACACACACACACACACACACACACACACACACACACACACACACACACACACACACACACACACACACACACACACACACACACACACACACACACACACACACACACACACACACACACACACACACACACACACACACACACACACACACACACACACACACACACACACACACACACACACACACACACACACACACACACACACACACACACACACACACACACACACACACACACACACACACACACACACACACACACACACACACACACACACACACACACACACACACACACACACACACACACACACACACACACACACACACACACACACACACACACACACACACACACACACACACACACACACACACACACACACACACACACACACACACACACACACACACACACACACACACACACACACACACACACACACACACACACACACACACACACACACACACACACACACACACACACACACACACACACACACACACACACACACACACACACACACACACACACACACACACACACACACACACACACACACACACACACACACACACACACACACACACACACACACACACACACACACACACACACACACACACACACACACACACACACACACACACACACACACACACACACACACACACACACACACACACACACACACACACACACACACACACACACACACACACACACACACACACACACACACACACACACACACACACACACACACACACACACACACACACACACACACACACACACACACACACACACACACACACACACACACACACACACACACACACACACACACACACACACACACACACACACACACACACACACACACACACACACACACACACACACACACACAGACATCATCGCGAAAATAGTCAAAACGGATTCAGGGGACCTCAAAACGTAAAAATCCGTCGAAAATTCGAGGTCGAAAAAAATCATGATTCCTATACTTTCCTTATATCTGTATACAGATAGGAAAGTAAAAAGTACTGAATTTGTACCATTAAAAAAACCTAATTTATTTAATCAAACTGCCTGAAACAACTTTCAATTAAATCCAAATCTGTTATACTTAAGAAAAAAGTGACTTTTTGCACAAACAGAATCTATTGTTATTTTTGCATAAAAAACAACATAATTCGTACCGTTAAAATATAAATTTTCAGAATTTGTACCCCTGCCGTTCCAATAGAAACTATCATAAATTCATATTGGGCTCAATAGTAAAGTATGCTTTTGCACGAGCAGAATCAATAGTTACTTCTGCAATAAAAGTAACATATATTGTACCGATAAAATATAAATTTTCAGATTTTGAACCCTGCCGTTCCTATAGAAGCTATCTTAAATTCATATTAGGCTCAAGAGTAAAGTATCCTTTTGCAAGAGCAGAAGTAATAGTTACTTCTGCAATAAAACTAATTAAACAATTTCCGAGAACATTTAGCTCATCACCACACCACACAAATATTCTTTTGTGAGAAACCCAGTGAATAAAACAAATGCAATATATTTGCCATGGCACCTGTGCCTATTTTAAAATGAATTTCTTGATTATTTATAGGCAGTTCTATTCTCCACTAGTTCTGAGAAATAGAGTCTATTTTTGTGGTTTCACAACCTACACAAAGAAAACTATTTTCAGAGTTAAGTGTTATTGAATTTACCTCAGCAATAGCTTCTACATTTTCACCTTTTGTAACTTCACTGTGGAAAAGTGGTTTGGGGTGTTGCAAAAAAAACAAATTTTCCGAAAATCTGGTCATCTATTAACTAAATGTTTTGCCACATTTATTACAATTATTTACCATCTATCTTGAAATGCTGAACTGCTTATAATCACCATTCACCTCACTCCATAATGTGTTTGTAAAGCCCATAGCCAGCTTCTAAATTTTGAAGTTTCAATTACGTTAAGTTAGTGTGTCATCCTGTAAAACTCTTTTACGTACCATGTCACTCCTTACACCACACATTATTACTATTAAAATGAGGCTGTCTTGCAAAGTCTCCAACTACCATCTGCTCCACTATAAAATATTAGGTGCTTTTTTACCCTTCTTCTTGTTTGTGTGTAAACAGTTTATACCTTTCGTAGGCCACGTTTTCTTTTCCTATAAAATGCTCTTCAAACTTTTCTAGCAAAGGTTTTAAATTGTCTTTTTCGCCAGTTTCTAGTTTAAAGCTCGTGTAGACTTTAAACTCATCGTCTCCTATACAGGGTGTTAAAAAAAAAGTGTCACAAAATGAAATGGTGAATAGTATGACCCAAAATAAGCAGAAAAGTCTTAATAAATATATAACCGCAAATTAACGGTTTCGGAGATACGGACCATTTTGTGTTTATAACAATTTTTTATTATTATAGAAAAACAATGATATTTATAAACAATCAATAACAACATAGAGTTAAATGAGATGTTCAAATACTGACGTAGCGCTTCCCTCGCATTGCCATTTGCACGACCGTACATAAAATGCATGTCAGCTAATTCAATATTAGTGTAAACAGGCATAACGAAAATTTATAAAATTATTCACCCACAACAAAATAACTGCAAATAGTATCTATGAAAAAACATCGGTAGACTCCGATAAGAAAAGCAAGTTTTTGAGAATGAAAAAAGATAATCAAAAAATGATACAAAACACAAAACACTCCGTATCTCTAAAACCATTCATTTTCGGACATATGTTTATTAAGACTTTTCTGCATATTTTGGCCCACACTTTTTTTTAACACCCTGTATAATGTAGCAATTGCGACCAATGTTTTTTTTTATCTTTTTTATGGACTTCTGATGCAATTAAGTAGTTTTCCAACATGGCAAGCCACACTTTCCAGTTTTCTGAAATGTTACCTCTCAAGGACAATGGAACAATGCCGCGAGTCCCCCATATTTTAATTATTTGGCCTATCGCTCAACTATGAAGTTTATTCACTTTTGTTTTTATTTAGTTACTGTCCAAGACTGCGCCATGTAATGTGTTGTATTTTATGTGAATTATTTGATGATAAAATGATAAAACAAACAACCATTTTCTTAAAATCAAAAACCAAACTTTATTCTTTATTGCCAACCTCCAAACCTATTGTTATTATACAACTTAAGCATCTAATGTATGTAACTTATAATACAGCCTTGTCTCAAAGAATCTGGATTCTAGTAGATGTTCATGAAATTATTTCCTTATGCGTCGGCTTGCGTACAAAGAATGTTCCAGTTACTTCTCAAGTCTCGAGGAGGGAAACAAAAGCGAGACACGCAGACGAGCTGCTGAAAAACGTAAACATAAATCAAAGCCGACATTATCATTATAAACTCAACCCAATTGAGTTAATATGGGCACAAGTTAAAGAAGATGTAGCTCGGAGAAACAACTTTTAAATTGAGTGATGTTTGGGAACTGCTGAAAAACTATTAAACAAATGAATAATCTCTAAAATGCGGCTATTAGAAGTAAACATTTAAATTTTTCCTATGGCGAATAAGTAATTAAGGTTAGAAATAGTTTTTATACAAAAAATATAGGATAATAGATAAAATAGTAATATCGTAAGAACAATAGGAAATTTTGCATTATTGGTCTCTATTTCTAGATTTAATCGATGAGTCTCATTTTCAAGCTAACAAGTTTTATTTATTTTGACGTAATAAGGTAGAGTTCAACACATAACTTGTGTAGTTACTAGTCATTACAAATACTAAAATAATCTCTTTGAGGAATACCATGTAAAATTGTAAGCTCTGTTAAAACGAGGTTATTATATGAAAATACTTTATGTTATTCCATAATCTGAACTATGACACAAACCAAATATAATCATCATTTAGGTATATTCCAAAGACATTACAACATAGAGACAAAATGTTTCATTCATAAATCCCATACAATTGCGGACTGTTATTGTTTTAAAATTGTTAGTGAGTGGGAGAGAGAAAGATAGATCTCTTAGGATAGGTTGGCAACGTTGTAAACAGTTTCCATAATATGCTCGCCAGTGGCGTAGAGTTTTAAACTTACCAGTAATATAATTATAATTATTTTTTCATGTAGGTAAATTTAAATACAAGAGAATTCAAGTTACCTTCCGATTTTTAATATTTATTGGTTTATAGTTTATTGGCATTTACTATATCTTTGCCTGGTATGATGTTAACCAAAATTATTTAAAATTTTATATTAGCATTATGTAGGTAGGGGTATCTAAATAAAACACTGTCCTAAAAATATATAATTTTTTAATTAATAATTACAAAAAAACATAGTATGGCCAAAAATATCGTAAAAAAACTGTAAAAATTTTTAAAATAATGTTTTAAATATATTAAATACTTTAATTTTATTAATTAAAATTTCATTTAATTTTTTTATGCTTAGTTATTAGTGTTATTACTTACTGCAATGTTTTTTTTTTGCAGCAGGTGGTATTTCAAAAACTGTTAAATCATCAGAACTAAAAACTCATACATTAGATATACATACATATAGGTAATAAATAATGTTTAGAGGTAAACAAAAAATTAATATTTTGTATTTTTACCTGTTCGGTAAGTCATCCAAAAATAGAAAGCCCTCACACCGTCTGGGGTTTGCATCTTTTCTGATATTTAGCACCATTTGCACGTACCAAAACATCTTCAGGAAAAAAGTGTTTTGAACACAATTCTGGGTTTTTACGAAGTGGCTGATTTTCAAGTATCCCTACTAGAGAAAAGCAAAGTTTTCTTTTCTCAGGATCTTGCGGAAACCTAAATAGAATATTAAAAAATATGTATAGGTGATAAACCCTTTATATGTTATGTCAAATATGAAAATGTTTCTAAAGTAGACCATGGAAAAATCACGCATGACGGATTCTTCACAATTCTGTCGGTCATGGCTTACTTTAGAAACATTGTTTTTGGATGACACGTTATAATATTAAAATGTAAACTAACAACTCTAGATATAGCGTTATAATTAACTTTATATGACCGATTAGGCCATGCACCGTCAACAGTCGTTGCAATTAGACCATTTCCTTGTTCATCTACTTCTCCAATATCTTTTTCTAATTGCAATTATTCCAGTCCTGCTTGTTCCATGGGTCTTCCCAAGCTGCTTCAAAAATACTTTTACTTACCAACTCATTATGAGCTGAGTATTGTCGAAAAGACATTATGGGGTGTTAGTACATTAGGATTTGAAATTAGCAAAATAATAATAATAATCTGTTCTTAGGAATATTAGATCACTGCGCATAGGGATGAAATGACGCAACGTTCTCCGGCATGTTCGTTCGCCGCTTCGTTTCTAAACGTGTTTCTAAAAAAATGTTGTTACAATATCGATTATAGATCTAATTAATGTTAATGATAAATGTTAATTAATTCATAGTGAATTGTTTAAAATAGTTATATTTTTTCCTCTGTGTTGCTTGAAGTTATTAGTGAATGGAACTAGGTACTCAAAGGTAAATAAATTTAAATAAAATACAAGTTGTATTATTCCACTAAAAAACCAAAAAGCTAAACCCATCTTATCGAGTGAAAAAGAGATGATGGAAAAAGAAATCCACTATCATCCAGTTGCAAAGAAAAACTCAACAATCACTTAAACACACAAAATCGATATGAACCACTTTTTAAACATTGGTACCTAAAATTGTGGGAAATTGTTTTTGTAAAGCTTTTAGATGCGTATCAACGATGAAATAAATAAAGATTAAATGTACCAAAAAGCAATCATGATAAATATTTCGTTTTAATAATTACGAGGGGGTCCAAGAATTTTGGCGATGCGTACAAACTTGATCGCATACGTTCTGATTTTGACTACATAAAAATTTTCTATGGTTTTGACCACTGATCTGTATTATTTTACTGGATAGCATATAGCCCCCTAAAAAACGTTCCGAAAAATTGGCCGATTTGGGCAAAAAATATGGCGGACCGGATGTTATTGAACATAACCTCTATTTCCATTTGTCATCACATTTGTCATTTAATTGTGTCAAAAAATTACGATGACACGTTTTTTTTATTTATTTAGGTAGTATCGGATAGCATTATTATGATATAAACAATAAACGTTCATTCGTGAAGACACAAATATGCTTCACGTTTCCATTTTTATATTTTCTTTCATAAAAAAATCAAATTATAGGTGAATTGTCCCGAAGGACATTGCCCGCAGAAGGAATAGAAGAAGAATAAGTTGAAAAACTAATCAAATTATGGGTTAGGTATGTCAAATTATCCCAAAAATCAAAGTATGTGCCCAAAATTCAGTTCTGTGATCCCACCATAATTTGCCCAAATCGGCCAGCAGTGTTGCACTTCCGGTCTCCTTGGTGGAACGGATTTTTAGTGTGTTAAATATAGCCTATATCCTATCCAGTAAAATAATACAAATCAGTGGTTTTGACACGTATATTAATGTTGGGTATATACATTCTAGCGAGGTGATGGCAAAATGGCAACTTTTTAGACTAATCGTAATATATATTGACAATATTTGTTCTAAAATTCTATTTAATTTTTAGACCATCTTCATTGGATGAACCATTCTTTTTGGAAAATGCTCCAAATATTATGAATATGATTTATTATTTGAATGCTTCACACATCTTCCGTCCTTACAAAGTTTATGGTCATTTTAATCAGACTACTGGAAAATTTTACGGTATGGTCAATGATTTAGCACAGGGTTTGGGTGATATCACAGGTAAAATTTATTTATTTTTATTCTTCTCCTCTTAATTAGGCATTCCTACGACCTGTCAAACAATAGGTGCCAGTGGGAAGTTCTCGTATATCTAAGGGGGTAGCGACATAGTCTTGCGTCTTGGACGCTATTTTTATTCGAAATAAACTCAAACAAATAATGATTGAGAGTGAAAGCAGGTAGAAATACGACCAAATCGGAGGCGTGCTTATTATTTTTGAGAGGGTACAATTATTTAAAATATTCATACAATTTATTTTATTTATTTCATGAAAACTTTGCAATATCGTAATTTACCTAATCGTTGTAGTCATTAGTGGGGCTTTATGAAAACGGAGTAATAATTGTGGTAATTATAGTAGGAACCAAATAAATTAAGAATATTAATAAAAATCACAATATATATTTCAAATTTTAAATTCACCTTAACCAAATTTTATCAAATTTATTTTGTAAAATACCATGTACAAATTATACATTTTTGAAAAGTAGAAAAGTGTATCTTTCAGATGACCTAAACATATACAGGGTGTTCCATTTGATAAAATTTGGTTACGGTGAACTTAAAAGAGGAGATTTTAAAAAACACCCTACATAGGTAATGCATAATTTCTGTGTCACTAAAGCAAAACTTATAGAAAAATTACACATATCAGCAAAAACGGCACGTTTCTAGGATTAGGTGTTTAAAAGTTATAAGCTCTGGAAATGGGCTACATTTCATTGGGACACCCTGTATATAAAGAAATGTATTCGCTCAGTGCGAAGCATGTGCGAAGTCATAGTAGGGGAAGCAAAAGTAATACTAGCGCTAGCTGCGGGTAATTCGTGCATTTCAGAGCGATATTTTGTAATTTTGGCATATCAACTACACGTATACATTTTACTTTAAAACAATAAAATAAGCAACCGGAGTCTGTGTTGTAAATTGTAAAAATATTAGCAAAAAACTGTAATTTATAAAAAATGTCAGTAGCAAAGTGGAAATTAATTCAAAGAAATAACTGAATAGCTGTACATTAAGAAGAAAAATTACCTTTATTTTTGTAATAATAACAGTAATACTGGAAATAGCAGTAGACATCAGAAACTTGAAAGATTTTAAATAAACAATAAATTATCATTTTAATCCTAAATGTACAGCAAGAACTAGATTTTTGTCTTTGATTATTATATGTGGCTGAAATGCAATTTTGTGACTTACTGATAGGAAACCAGTTTTAATCATTCATTGTATGTTTTCTTTCGAACAAGAATGAAGAAAATAAAAATAACAATCCCTTTGTTTATACATTTTAACTTCAGGCTATTATTTAATGGTATTTTTTATTTTTCAAGAATAAGATATTTCTTCAAATACAACTTATTAGACTTAGGCAACTTCTCATAAATTTTCTCGTAAATACTGGAGTGCGTTTAGAAACCTCACTCGGCGTGGCTGACCACACTCCTGTTGCCCGCCTATGTTCTATTATTGACTTTTATTGATTATACTTACTTTCTTAAGTTTAAGCTATAAAAATATATAATAATAATAAATTAATGTTTTTACTTGTTTCACAAATCCATATACTTTTATTAAAACTAACATATATACTTTTTAAATACGAATTCTATTCTAAATTGTATTGTCAGTATACGCAAACATCGTCTATTAGTGCATAAATTAATTGGCGCTGCTGTCGCGTACAGAGCGATTACCAGATTTGTTCCTGTTATTTAGGCGTGTCTGGTTTATCTGACTTTTAAAAACTAGTCAAAATACTCTCCTTGTCAAACTTGTTTTAAAACATACATTGCTTTTAGGATCAGCTCTCTTTGTGTCTGAAGAAAGACAAAGAATTCTTGATTATATAGCGATAGCTACCACATGGGGAGGCAAGATTATTTTAAAAAAACCTTCGATGTCCTATATAGAAAATATTTATTTAATGACATTTACTGGACAAGTATGGATTGCTTCATTGCTTGTTTTAATTACCTTTGGCATAACTTTGTATATTTTGCTAAATTGGGAAAAACATAATTTGGTAAGCTAGAAATAAACATCGCGTATCGTTCCCATCAAAGTTGAACGTTTGGAACTACCTGTCCCATTATTAATAGAATAATAAAATCTTATTAAATATCTTTTTTTTTAGGTGAATACTGGGAAAAATATAAAAATCAAATATAGTGTCAGTGATGCCACACTTTTATCTTTTGAAGCTTTATGTCAACAAGGTACGACTTTAATGATGATAATTAAATGTTTTACTGACCCATATACCTTTAGAGTTCATCAAATTTCTAGAGGTGTTCGACGCCCAGACAGAGAACGCGCTACGTGTGACTAAGATAGCTATTGTACAGTCTGCTAAACAAGTTATTTTAAATAGTTTTTAATATTTTTAGGTAATTAAATTTTAAAAGTGTGGAATAGTTTAGGGATTAAATTGGTCTGATTGGACTTTCTTAGAACGTTTTTAAAAGCAGCTAAAGATAGTATGTAGAATTGAAAATAATTATTATGCCATAAAAGGTGTTTTGGAATTCCTTCAACCTTTTGAAATTGAGTCAGAAAATATAAATTTTATAGGATAGCGGAAAATACCTATAATTTTTTTGTAGGCCTTTGTAAATCGTGGAAATAGTTTATATTTTATTTCTACCTTATTAAGGAAAATGATACCTATTATAAATAACGGTTGTTTCTGAAACATTACTAAAATTTTCGAAATTTTGTTTTTCTACAAAATAATAAACTATACTATTTAGAAAAAAATTTATTTCTCTTATAATTTTATAAAAAATAACAGGGGAATATTTACATTTCTTGATCTATTAAACAAAACGATAAATTATCTCGACGAATGACACCATGTTCTAGTACGGAAGCTAGCTTTACATTTTTGTTGGTGGTTTCATGGGTTTCATATCAATTTTTTGTAATTGTAGTTTACACGTACATATACCTCTTAACACTTGTTTGCTTTATTAAAAAAGTGTGTTGTTGTGATTTACGTCGAAATAAGTCAAAAACAACTTGAAACCCCATATAAAATCAAAAAGGAGAAACGGAAAAAAATTGAGCCTGTAAATGAACACAACTCAGAAACAAAAATAGCTATCTAATAATAAAAAAATAAAATTTGATTCTTGTGCAGCTTCATCTATATCATTAACTGTTTTTGGTTTTTTAATGGTTTTTCTTGGTGATGAAAATTCCGATATCTCACGGTTATCGATTCTTTTTTTCTCTCCAGAAATGCGGACGACAGTGTTTTTAGATACTCCTGTGGCTGCAGCAACACGATCATTTACATTTTTAAATGGTATTGAAGGTGAATTAAAGTTTCCTTCTCTTCTCATAAACTCTATAACATTGGCTATTATTTCGCGAGATTGACTGTTAATCACGCGGCCTCTTAATTTGCTATTAAACTCCATACTTAGGTTCTATTAAACTGTAATGAGCAAAAAACACAAACGAAAATAAAAGAAATGTTTTAGCGAAATTTACATCTGACATTTACGTCTGAATGAAATAGTGAAATACTTGATGCGCAGAGTGTACTTTCATTGCGTAAATCCGTCGGGATGCCTGTCAGTAGTGCTTTCTCTGTCTAGCCGTCGAAAGCCTCTAGAAATTTGATGAACTGTAATACATTACGAGTATATACCAAATAAAGGAATAAAAGGAGAATGAAAACGACGTCATTTTGAACTATTTTTACCACATGACCTATGGTTTATGATATCTAATCACTAATTTCCCCTACGAAATTATTTACGAATTCGGACATCAAAGCGTATGGGTTGAGATGGCCCAATTGGTTAGCGTGACAGAAAAAATACGTGTAAGACTGCGAATCGAACCCGGAACTTCGGACTTGGGCCGTATGCGCGCTAACCAATTGGGCCAACTTAGCACATAGGTTTGATGTTTGAATTCGTAAATAATTTCGTTGGGGAATTCGGGATTTTTCATTTTCAGAATTTCCAAATCTGTATTTTGTTTTCGGATTCAAACCGACTTTCTCACTTCACTTTTTTTCATTTCACATTTACGGCGTACCGTACTCGAAAACTTAACACTGTTGAACGAATGAAGGATCTTAGATATTTAGTTCTAATTATGAAGACTATAGAGATAAGGAGGCGAATCGGCCTTGGTCAAATTTCAAATTTCCGTCCCTATTTTTATGAAGTTTCAAAAAACTACTGTAGTTGGCGGGTGGCAAAATAACGACGTCTATTTTATATGCAAGTCAATGGGAGTTAAAGGGATTTTTGTAAAATTTAGTGAAAAGAATAAAAATAAGCCGAAATAAAGAACCTGACTACAAGTAACAATGAGTAACAAAAAACGGCAAAGCAGAATTTGCTTCGTTGCGGGTTGAAAAACGGGATATAAATCTGATATAAAATTAAAGAAAACATAAGGAGATAAAAATCCAAGTCTTTTTAAAGCTCCTAGTGTAAGTAAAATAATGTATTTATTTCTAAACAATATATATTTATTGTAAAATAGTCACAACCCGTATCTTACGGAGTGTAGTTTATTTAATTACAAAATTCTATAATAAAAAATAATAAAGTCATAAATCCTGACTTACAAACAACAATAATTACACATTAAATTTAACTTACTATTTTGATTTTTTTATGTTTTTTGATGTAAGATAAAAAGTTACTGTTATTTTTCTTTATTGCACTCCAATTTAGTCATTGCAAATATTTTTTATAGGATCCTAAACGCAGAGATAAGGGAGATAAAGATAGGAAACGCCCATAAGAAGCCAATGCTTAACAACGACCAGCTTTATCGCAGTTAACATCTGACCCACTATGTGGCGCTTTCATCGATATCAAACAACGCAGCGGGAAATTTAAAAACCTGATAATAAAGGTTATATAAATATCGACTGCACTCTCATGTTCTTTTAAATAAACTTAAACAATGTAATTACGCTAAATTATTTATAAAAAGAATACTACACTTACAGTCTCTTATCGATTAATTATTGTAAATCTATATTTATGACAAATATTTTTTAATTTTTGATTGTTATTTGTAACATTGCATTTTTGTTTTTATTTTCCAAACGAATGGCCAATGATTTAAAAATGTTGAGTGCAAATTCAATAATGGGAATTCAGATATTTTTCGTCCTATATCAAATCTTTCTAACGTTTTGAAGCCATTTTCTTGTTCTAAAAAATAAATAACACATAAATATCTACTTTGTGACAAAAGATAATTACTATTTGTGTTACTTACATGAATAGATCTTAAACTATTCACCAGGATGATGAAATTGTAGTTGTCGAATACAAAATTACCACAAAACTGTTCTTACCAAATTTCACCATTTAACAAACCTTTTCAAATTTGGTCATACCTAATTTTCATTTTATTTAGATAAAATTAAATAATGAATAGTAAATAATGTTTAACATAAAGACTCATTTATAATTAATACCAACAGTATTTTCTGTACTTTAGTTAGCAATTAAAACAAAGACTTATTTACAATAATTAAAATCAATAGTATTTTCTGTGCTTTAGTTAGCAATAAACAATTTGATTTTTATTATTTTTATAAAATTTTGTAAAATCCCTAACTAAATATTTTCTTTTAAACCGTGTCTTAGTATGCCCTCAACCCTATTTAGCTTTAATTAAAAAATAATTAGCCCTACCCATCAAATTTTAATACGTATCATCAATAATTTGCATTTTACTTAAATAGGAATAAATAGTAAATAATGTATCAATTAAAATATGTAAGACTTATTTAGAAATAAGTACAAAAGTATGTTCTGTGCTTTATTTAGCTATAAACAAGTTTATTTTTATTATTTTGACAAAATTATGTATAATTCCCATAAGAAGCCATGTATTTTGAACTACGTAAACCGTACCAGCGCCCATGCGGTTAATTATAAAAGCTCAATTGACGTGTGATTTTTGGGACCGTATTTTGAGCATGCCGATTCGCCCTCCGAGCAATTACTAATAGAGGGAGCGTGGAAACGAGTTTGTAGGCGAATGTTGTGTTAGCAACATCTGTAGAGGAAGTGAGGAAGCGGGCATAAGGGGGAAGGTAAACATCCTTCTTGTTCAGTGGCGTATCATTTATCTATAAAAACACACATTGTCCAAACGTTTTAATTGTAAAAAAAAACTAAAAATTTTGCTAATTTTACTATTTTTAAAATGAATACCGTCTTATGTGTGTCTAATGCAGGAAAAGAAACAAAATCACGGGAAAGGTCTAATTTTTTCAATTGAAGAATAAAACCTTAAAATCAATTTTATTATAAATACAGGAGCGACTAGTTTCGGCCTTACAGGAACATCTTCAGGCCTGTAATACAATAATCTTTAATTATTATAATAGGTTGGTCACTTACGAATAACATTAAATAGTATAAACCACATAAATGGATCCATATTGTAGCGTTACATCATTATAGAATTAAAGCTGTGAAAATAAAAGAGCAGTGCAAACGTAACTAAAAATAAGAAAACTGAGTACGGAATCTACAAGAGAAGATATGAGAATGAGCAATTACGAATGCATTTAAATTGCTCGGGATAATAAATAAAGCTGATAATGTAGTGGTATAGTCCCCGTCAAAGAAGGTCTGGATATGTTAAAAAGGACGGCGTTTTCTCTGTAAATCTGGAGAATGTAAGGATGGAGGGAAGACGAATCTTGCTGGCTCAGGTGTAGATGGCTAGAAAAAGGAGCGTGTAGATGAAAGCTCCAGTAAATATCGTCACTTTCGTCTAATTTTTATTCTCACTCACCCTTTCGGCTTTATCTTCGAAATTCATTTTTAAAAGGAAATAAAAGTAATCATTCATACAAGCATATAATAAGACAACATGAATTCATTATATTTAATAAGCCTATAAACGTTTGTTTCAATGAAAAAAACTTATATGTGAGTATAAAAAATATATAAATAGATAAGATTAATATCAAAATCAATTTGAAAATACAACAGATAATAAAATGAAATGAATTAATACAAGTACAAATAGAAAGTTAATAACATACCTTCTAAAAGTAACACATTTTGGGTAGATAAATGTTTAAAGAGTTTATTCCTGAACATAACTAATCTAACGTTTTTCCCCTTTTTAATATTATGAGGGTTTTTGTAGTTGAAATGAAAATTATAATTTATTTTGGTCCTAATAAAAATTTAAACATAGGTTATCAAAGAGTAAAATTCATAATAGAACTTCATAATCTTAAATCGTTATCAAAAATTATCATTGGTAAAACTTCAAACAATAATTATATTCTTAAACAAATTTCTAGTTTTTATTTTGCAAAAGACTTTTTTGCCTTCTTCGGTTGCCTCTGCCACTTTTCTTTTAGTAGTTTCGAGGAGAATTTTCCTATGGAAACCAGTACAACCATCAATTGGTTGATAAAATTTTGATATTTTGAGTCTGGTAAGTCTTGTTAAACTTTCTTCTTAGGAAGCTATAACCTTATGGAGAATAAAAATTTAATGTTAGATCAAAAGCTCTTAATTGAGAATTATATTTGCAAATGCCGTTTTAATAATATTTTCAAAAGTTCTTGGAATCGTTGTTAACAGAAACCTGCAAAAAATATATAATTTTATTCCTAAAATATAAGATATCACACAATGCACATTCGTATAATATTGTGCTAGAAAAATACTAGGTAGTTACTGAGACAATTTAAAAAAAAGTATTTCGAGAAACTCAACTTTTAATGTCATCATTGTACTTAACTTTTTTATTGCTAAATTATTAATAATGTCATTTTGTGTAGTTCGTTGTGATTTTTGTAATATATATTATAAAAACCTATTGTCAATGTTAATGTGCCAAGTTTTTTTAATAATTATGTCCTTGTTATAGTAAAAACACATTTAAACACATTTTTAAAGTTTTCTGGATTTCTGCTTTAAATTATCGTACAATTATACTGACTAATTGTGTGTTTAAGTAAAGGTATATTTCTTTTTTGTTATAACAGTCTTTGTATATTGTTCTAACTTTTTAGATAATCAGAGAAAACAGTAAGACATCTTAATATATCCTATTTCACTAACAAAAATGTAGAATAATTAATCTCACATCAAACGAAAAAAGTAATTTTAGGATGTCCTAATAGGTTTTAACTTAAAAACTAAATAAAATGTATATTGCAACTGTGTTTAAATAAATGAATGTTTTTATACCTGACTATAGCACCAGACAAACATTTTTTTAGATCATAATGATCTGCATAACTCAAAATAGTCAAAATCCACATTATTTAAGTTGTTCTAGTATTGTTTTAGCATACCGATGTTAACTCCAATAATAAATATTCACATTTTTTTGGGACGTTTTTTAAGGAAATTAAAAAAAAACATGAATAATGTGATATTCTTGTTTAGTTTTGTACTATATAATATAGTTCATTAGGTAGTGATTTAGAAGCAAATTATGTTCTATTTATAGAATAAAAAATCACTCATAATATCTAAATATTTATACCTATTTATATTTTGGACAGGAAGACTATTTTATGTTTTTGGCTCTGAATACTTTTCTTAAGAATTTTAAAACCTTCCTTAGCTATTTTGGGATATTCCATGCATATCTTAGAAGTTCATTTTGTTTAAACCTAAAACAAATTAAGTACAAAAAATGAACATTTAAGCAATACACAAAATTAGTCTTTTAGATTAGTTAAAAAAAAGTGTCAACAAAAAAATAGCTATGCCTTTTTCCTTAAACATTCTTTTTGAAAGAAACTTAAGTTTCTCTACTTACTTACTGTTTTAGTGATTTAGTAGCAGATGAATATAGTGTAGAAGTAGTGACAGGATTGATTATTATACTCCTTTCGTCGAAATTGCATTTTTCTTTAATATTTTCCTTCCCTGAGGTCTGTAATAAAAATGTCCATTATCATAAAAAGTTATTCAGGTGGTCACTTGTTGAATTCCTATCTTTTGGAACCATGTATTTCTTTCTCATATCAAGAAAAGGAAACCTAAAAAAAATAACAATAAACTTTACAAAGATGTAATATTAAAATAATAATAAGTAATTAACCTTTACTATAATCATTATGAGACGGATGAAAACGAACTTAGCTGGAGTGTACTTGCTCTTAATTTTAATTTTTCGATAAGAAAATAAGAAAGTTTAATTGCAAATTAAAGGTGATTGCCTAATGCACCGCCTCTGATAATTAGGTTGTGTCTGTACTTACTTATGATATTATCTTGAAGAAGCATTTTCAACAGGCCTTTTACACATAAAGCATGTTTTCACCATATTATTAGAGATAATAAATCTTAAATATACATTTACAACCCTTACAACGTTATAAATAATAATATTTTTCGTAAAATACAAATAAGAAATTGACATGTGTCAGAAAGTGTCAGAACTGGCGCTCACAGAACACTTCTGGCGCTGTCAAACTTGGCAACGCTGATTAAATAAGCCAATTACAGAAGAGGTATTTTCCCCCTCTGGGGGAGTAGATGTTGCTAACAAAATTTAGCGCGGGGAAGGGGGGAAGACTCCCTCTAGTGGTAATTGCTCGGAGGATTCGCCTCCTTATCTCTAGTCTTCATAGTTCTAATGTAATTATAAAGTACTGTTTTTCTACACGATGTCAAAAATGGTGGGTGGCTTTAAGAAAAATTTAGAGAGCAGCCAAACCAAAAATATAAAAAAGTTAAAAGCGAGGTTAGATGAATAGAGTAAAGGTAATTACTTTTTATTTTGAAAGCCCTTGAAAACAAAAAAAAATCCCTAGAATGATCTACTTAACTTTGTAAAACCTTGTTTATTTCCGGACGATGAAAAATAACTAAAAGTAAAGATTTTAAAATGTATGGGAAGTTTAGTTATGGATGATTTAATTGTAAATCGGTGGAATTGGGCCTTAGTGTAGCTGTAAATTGAGTTGTATAGTGAAATATTGTAAAAATATTAAAGAATGTGTACGAAGTGGGTGGCGCAAAATGAACGTTATGATTTAAATGCTTTGTAACTTTTTTATTTTTAAATAAATTTTCAACATTGTTCTATGAAAACGTAGTCTATAAATAAGAAATAATTTTAGCCTGAAAACGTTAAAAACTACGTCTCGCAAATGTCGCCCATTTTCTGCTTCACAAAGTCATGCTCTTTCCAACACATGTTCCATGACTTTTCGCAAGATCTCAGGTGTTGTGGCACGGATTTCATTGCGAATGTTATCCTTTAGTTGAGGGATGGTTTATGGCTTATTAACGTAGACTTTTTCTTTCAAATAGCCCCAAAGAAAAAAGTCTGGAACGGTCAAATCCGGCGAGCGCATTAAAATGTCGGCGATACGCAAGCTGCGTCAGAATAACTGACTTTCGGTTTGAAACATAAAATTCGATGATTTTTGTCCTTTGTTCTATGGTGTATTGCTCCATTTTAAATTCCCCAAGCCTTCTTTACAAATTTCTGAAACAGAAGATAAAATAAATTTATAAATAAAAAGTTGTAAAGCCTTCAAATCATAACGTTCATTTTGCGCCACCCTGTATAAGTTTCAATATAAAAAACAACGTAGTTACAATAATTTCATACTGCATACTCATAAGAGTTAGAATCTCATGAATTTTTAGTTAATTATACTTATATCTATAATATGTAGTTAATAATACCTATTTCTATTTTTTGTGGTAGGTATATGCAGCTAATCTTTTAAGAACGCATTTTTTCCACCTCTTCTACTCGATTTTTTATTTTTCTTCATGTTAAGTTAAAAAAAATTGATAAAATTTTGTAAAGTTATAATTTTAGGGTGTAACCGACTCTGTGGTGTGGTACCGGCCTAAAACATAAATTTAACGACTGCATTCATATTTACACAATATATTTTTAGGTACAACTATAGAATCAGCAACAATTTCTGGAAGGATCTTATTAGTTTTCTTGTTTACTGCATTCATGTTCCTTTACGCAGCATATTCAGGATACATACTTGTGTTACTTCAATCGACTAAGCCTATTGAATCAATCAAACATTTATTGGATAGCAGGCTTGAATGTGGAGGAATCAATATAAGTTTTATTATGGATTGGTATAATGTAAATATTTTTTCTTCTATTTGCGCCCAAAGTAGAGCATTATTTCACTGACTTTTTTGACAAAAAGTGTTAATTTTTCTATTTTTTCTACAAAATATAGATCATGTGAAACAAATAACAAAATATAATAATATATATTATAAAAAGGAATTTTAGACAAAACTAAAAAGATAATTCTTTTATTTTGTATATTGTGAATACAATAAATAATGGAAGAATTACCCCTTTCCAGTCTATTTTTCGAATTGCTAAATTCAAAATATTCTAGCATATATGTCTTTAAATTTTTAGAACTAGGTATATGAATATCTAGAAAATTGTTAAAAATTATAAATTTAGCTTTTACTATAATTTTTTGGTTTGAAATGTTTTCTTTGTCTTTACTACCCCCGTACAGACCTAAAATCTGTATGCCTTCGCTATAACACGATAGATATAATACGGCTGTATTAGTGTGACGTAATTTGAGTGCCAAACAAACCATTATGTCATTGATTTGCAGATCGTAAAAAGTGGTTTAAATAAAGTATGTAACCAAACTATTAGAGTGGTATTCTATAAAATATTGATGATAATAATAGAAATAAAATGTTAATAATTACTCAACCTCTCTTTTGATATATTGTTCAGTATACCTGTAACGTGTGCAGGGTGGGTTAATTCACGGCTTAGGCCTCACTAGATCCATTGTTCATCTTACTAAGTAGATAGGCACCACCTAGCTCGTGAACCGTCCTAGATTTAATGTAGTGGACAACGTCGCTAAGAGGTGCTTCTCTTATATCGGCCGGTGTTATCCAATTCTCGCCGAACATAATAAATAAGAGCGTCGGGCAATCGTGGAGGATATGCTCGATGGTTTCGTCTTCTTGTTCGTACCCCTACTAAGTGCAGATTTTAACAGCCCCATAATATGGAGATGCTTCTGTACTTGGCAGTTACCAGTCAGAATGCTTGTGATCAGGCGCAGATTCTGTCTAGTCGTATTTAAATATTTGTTTGCTCTAGTGTTGTCAGAATAACTTAAGAGCTCCCTGGCAAGTCTGCAACTTCTATTTCCATCATATCTTTTCTTGAATTTTACAAGGAAATGTTGCCCGATAGAAGGATTAGGTCCAAAAAGTATTTAGTTGGCTGTCTTCTTGGCTAGTGAATCACCAAGACAATCGTCTTGTTGATGAATACTTCGGCCAAAGCTTCGTGACATTCTTGTACTAACCCTGAGTAAATTCGTAGTCTTTCCAGAGTGAATAGTGCTTGTCTGCTATATTCATGGATTAGTATGTTCCGTCCAGTGATATTATTTCTGGGGATTTCTTTTGATACTATGAGAATCTCCTTAAGCCCCGAACTACACTGGCACTATTGCACTCAACCCATTTAATGTTTAGATTTGAGGATGTGGAATATATTCGACGTCTTGAGCATTGTTTTGTTTTAGAAACGTCGGTGTAGATATGAATCGTACCTGCCATTTCCGGTTCGAGCGCCAAATTTGTAAGAGGTTTTCTCGCTACAGAGAAAACGATTCCTTACGAGTGACGCTTTTTACAGACGGCTCTGGTTTACTCTACAATCTCTTGAAGCAGCGTCGAAAGTACTCGGACAGCTACAGATGGAAATAAAAAATTTCAGGTTTCAAAGATCACTTAAACACAGGTTTTAATCGTTGCTTGCGCTTATAAAGAAATTTTCACTTGCTGAAAAGTAAAGGGGGAAGTAAGCAAGGGATTTAGTATTACCTCGGTAACACGCCAGAATAACGGTGACATATATTAAGTTTAAAATAATACAAAAAAATAAATATTCTAACTTTTCGCTCTATATGGCTTACGGAAGATATATCTCGGTGACATGGAATCCATGTTCGCTTGGAGCAGTGGGAAGGTATCAAAAGCCTCCTGCCAGAAGCGACGCCTCGCCTCACCAGATCCTACATCAGGTTCTATGCCAACCGTGCGGAGGCATATCATTGTCATCAGAGCAACCTCCTTGATTTAAATATGAGACATGCTGTTCTCTGAATTTGTTCTATTTTGTGGATAGCTGTCAATTTTTAGGTTTTCGGTATCCATATAACTACACCGTATGTTAGCATAGGTATTATGATGGCCATGTAAGTCCATGCAACGACTCTGGGAAAGAGACCTCAGGTGCGCCCCACGGTTCGATGGCATTGTCAACTTGCTGTCAAAGTTGAGACCTAGGCACTTACTTCTGTTGCAAAGTTTGGTTTTGTGTTTAGGGCTTCTTTAGGTTTTAATTCCATTTTTATCCTTTTCCTTGTGAATAGGACCATTTCTGTCTTCTTAGAATTGATAGATAGAAATGGCCTTGCGCCACTGTTCTATAATTTTGAATGCTACTTGCATTCTTTTGCAAAGTATCTTCTTAAAATTCCTTTTTTTGTAGAATGACTAGGTCATCTGCGTACGCTATTGTGAAGTGACTCATTATTGACACGCGGCTGCTAATAAGGATGTCGAGACCATGTTCCTGTGGAAATCCCTTCGCAACTAAGCCTCTTATATTTACATCTTCTACACTTATGTTTACTACTTGTTTTAAGAGCATGTTATGTATCCACTCACAAACCATTTGTGGAACATTTCTGTTGGTTAGGGAGTATATTATCTTGAAAAACGTCGCTTTATCAAAAGCACCTTCTATATCTATGAAAACACAAAAGGCGGACTCTATTGTCCAGGGATCTCTCTATCCAGCCAGCAACTAGGTGAAGGGCTGATCAGTATATCTGTCTAGAGTGTAAGCTTGTTGATTTTGGTGTGGTGGTGTTGATGTAATCATTACATCCATTATGTACTTTTCGAATAGCATTTCTAATGTCTTCATGGAAAACGGTGTCAAATCTTGGCGTTATATTTTTTTGGGATATACCTCAGACCCAACGAGGATCTGAATATATCTACCAGGTGCGGTGTGAGTTCTTTCAGACCACAGTGAAGTAGGACTGGATAGATAAATGGAGAGAAGCTAGATATTTCCCATCTAATTTGGTCATCATCTACAATGTGTTTGGCAGTTTGCCAATCGTAGACAGATAGGTTGTAATCTTCCTCTACCCAGTCGGTCACATCTGTGATGACTGAGTCAGGGAAGTGTGTTGATAGCAGAAGTTTGACGCTATCTTCGAAGTTTGCATCCTCTTTGATTAGCGCTCCAATACTGAGGTGTGGATCTCTTAAGAGAGCTTTTTGAAGCCTCGCTGTCTGCGGGAAATGTTCGATTTCTTCGCAGTAGGATCTCCATGCACCTCTCTGTTTTTGTGTAACGATTTTTGTGTATTATCTGAGATGAGATTTGTAAATATCCCAGTCCTCTTTAAGTTTTGTGGTTCTTACCTTATTAAAAGATTTCCTGGCCATCTTCCTGAGGTGATCCAACTCGTGACACCACCATGCGGTAGTCATCTGATTGTGTTGGATTAGCCTCAGGGGACAGGATTTCTTGTAGGGCAAGTATGCAGATGCCTGGATCAACATTTTCTTTTCCATCTTAACCGCAGTTAAATTGGAAATGGAAAGGTATGACATTGAATGGGCTTTATTTTTCCTAGGAACGTCAATTGTTGTCTTAGGTTGTTGGTTGCTGGAAAAGCTAAAAATTGAACCATTTAGATTTGTTAGATCTATAATTTTTTTTTATTATCCAGGGTCCCTGCAGCTCATTAAGTTGGCGGAATAATTTTGCCGTAGTCACCCTCTTGTGCTGCAAGTTGCATTGTATAATTGTTACCTGTTTAATTGCTTCCCGATCCCACAGTTCAGTTTGGGCAGGGTTTGAGATTATTGTTTGACTCTCATTTTCTCCTAAAAAGGGAAAGGGTGGCCTGGTGTGGCTCCTCAGAGTTGTAACCGATCAAGGCATTTTCTTGTCTTTGTTTGCGTCGTTTTCCTGGCCTATTGTGGAGGCAGAACTAGCGAGAAGTATGAGCGTCGATACCCAAAGACTTGATTGGGCTGCTTATGTTGGGTTTGTATTGAGGGCGTATCATGCCAATGGCTGTTGCCGTAGATCATCCTGTTTTCAGTTTAGCCTTCTTTTCCTCTTTGCTTCAGAACCTGTCAGTTTGATGTGAACTACAATGTACATCCTCATATTTTGGAGGTGGACAACGACGTCCAGCCTCCTTTGCTGGAGGTGAACGTTGACGTCCAGCCTCCTTGGATTTGTGTGGGTTTGGACCCATAAGGTTCCCACGAGTAGCTAGGGAAAGAAGGGTTAACCGACGCAAAGCCCCCTCATGCGCCAGCAAGGCTAGTTGCAAAAGGGAGTCGCCACGTACCCTCAAAGGAACGTTTGCCACCACTTTTGCCCCTGCGGCAATTCATCTGTAGGCACGTTACCTTACACCTTAGTTGGCGAAGTTGGGTTCTCTTACTCTACTTATATCTACCACTAACCAAATCCTGTCCGTTCTTCTATCCACCACCCGGGTAGTGTTGCCTAAACATCGATAGTCAGAGCTTTTGATAGTATCAATAGTTTTTGATAAAATCTATCAATGTACTATCGATAGTTTTGAAAGGTATTTGAAAAGAACAAAATGCAAGTAAACAAGAAACACTGGTATTTCCCCGAAAACAGTATTGTATATTCGCCTTGCAGTTAGTTAAATCAAATGGAAATGAATGGGGAATAAAGAAAAAGTGTTGCCAAGCTTCTGAGCACCTGTAATGGTGTCATGCAATTTTCCGGTATTATAGCACGTCGTATTGTTGGAAAAAATCGAAAGGCTTAACTTTTACTCCGCTTTGTACTATATTTACTTGCCTTTTGCTTTGTATTCATTAATTTTTTTATAATATTAAATTATTCTTTATTTTCATACATCCTTCATGAAGACGGCAACGCTATCTCCAGAATTGGGTCATTTTTAAAGTGTAACCCATTGAGAAAACTAACTGCATTGGCAATTAGCATCCTACTTTAAATTGGTTGATGAACAAAGACGAAAATACACTGTGCACAGTGCACACTTTTCATGTGAAAAGCCACTCGACTCGACATCCGGCGCGGATTATCTCTAGAGATGTTCCGACTATCGATAGTTTTTTTATAAAACTATAACTTGTTTCGATTTACTATCGATGCTATCAATATACTATCGACGTCTATGCAACACTACACCCGGGGACGCGCTCAGTTGGCACTTAACTATTGAGTTGTTTAATATAAATGATTATTAAACGAATATTTAACTAAAATGTTATCTACTTACTTTAAAAATAGTTATTTTAAGACTTAAAAACAATGAAATAATAACATTTTAAACACTAGGTATTATTTAGTCTACAACAACTTTGTTTGGCACCAAATTACGTCATCACTAATAATCATAATTAATGTTGATTTGCATATTAAAAATATTTAAAATGACATGACAGTTTTTCATAGCTTACTTCGAAAGAGATGTACAAAACTAATGAATTAAGTAAATAATCGTAATATTTATTTTTAATGAAAGAAAAAATTATGTGTATTACAAATCGATAGAAATAGATGAAGCCGCCACCCAGACAGAACACATAGTCTAATGGACGTCCACTTTAGATCCATTTGAGGGTCAGAACGTCCATATCCGCATTCGGATATCCAGTGTACGTCCGTTTATGATCATTAATTTGCATATCTGTATATCAATACCCAAAGGACGTCTGTTTTTGGACTTACTTTTAAGTTTAGTAGTATTTTGAAGTCCAGTGGACGTCCATTATTTATTTAGCCTACCAGATAATATCCATCTATATACACTTTCTTCTTTTTTAATATAATTAGTCATTAAAAATTGACAAATTGAATCTATTGCATTTCATTCTATCAGGGGACGGTTGAAATCTTATTCTAAGCATATCTAGTAAAAAGTGGCCGAGATCGTATAGCGGTTGAAAGCGTTGAACGACAATGGACGTGTCGTGAGTTCGATTCCTACTTAGATCAAGCGATTTTTAATTAGAAAAAAAAAATAGTGTATAGCGGGTTTCGAAAATAATATATAAATTATTAATAATATAAGTAGTGAGTTGCAGTTGTGTATAAAAGTGGGAATATGGTCTCAATGAAATATAATTCAGGAATGGGCATTTTTTAAATGTTCAGTATTCAACGTCCAAATATAATCCAGAATTGGACGTCCTCTGAATGGTCAAAAGTGTGCCATTTGTATACTTCACTGGATGTCCATTGGGTGTCGGAAGTCAAGAAAACCCTTTTTTAGACGTCCAGACATCCAAAATTGTATATCGAATAGACGTCCAATGAACCTATTTGTGCTGTCTAGGCAATGTATATACGCAATCAATAGAAGTCAATTTGTTCCGCTTATTTGAGACGATCATCATTCTCTGAGTCGTATTTAAACGTTGCTTGGCTCATCCCGTAGTTTTGATGTTCCTGTAGCTCTGTACATAGGAGTTAATAGTATATTACACACCGAGGTGGGAAGAGTTTCATTCCTGTCGTGAGATTAGTTAGATCACCGAGACGCGAAGAGTCGAGGTTAGCTATGATCTCGAGACAGGAATGAAACTTCCTACCGAGGTTTGTATACTATTTTATTTACAACCATCATATTTCGATCAAAGTTAATAAATCTCTGTTTTGTTCTGAACATACCTAAAATATTACATTTAACGACAAATTACCAAGCGCGCGGTTTTCTCAGAATAATCAAGTAGGTAAATATATTGTTACTGTGATTACGGGGTAAACAACTGTCATCAATATAAATAAATGTCAGATAGAGCCGGATATTAAATTCGCGAATAATAAATATCAATAAGTAGTTTGTTATATTTTAGATCATTGTTGTTTTTTATTGTTTGCCATTAAATAAGTATTATCAAATTTGTAAAACACTGTGTTATTTTTTTGTATATATAAGAAATATTCATCTAGAATAGATGAAATGAGGGCGGGAAGGGAGGGCGGGAAGTAGAGGTGTATAATGTGACACTTCCCAACCTTCAATGACGTTAATAATGACAACATTACATATATGGTAGTAAATAAATTACTTTAATGCACTTTGAGACTATTTTCAGGGACTAAAATGGCACTTTTACTCTCTAAAGATTAAAAGTAAAATACAGTTAAGACAATTTTACTCCCTAGGTATTAAAAATTACTTTTAATCCCTAAGGATAAAAAGTGCCACTAGTGTATAATATACTATTCTTCCCTTGAATCATTAGGCGTCGATAGTAGTGTTCATCCTTTAAATGAACAAGTATTACAAATTAAAAATTTAAAAAAACCGACTTCAAAAACGTGCAGATGCCACATCTTAACCAAATTTATATGGGACCACCCCTGAGGTACCCCCTTACTAACAAAAAAGAATCGTATAAATCGGACAAGGTGGTAAAGCATTATCGCTAAACATACATAAAAAATGAAGAGTTTGAGGATTTTCTCATGAATCCAATTATTAGATTTTGACAAAATTTATATGGGACCACCCCTACAGTAGCCCCTTTCTAACAAAAAAAGAATTATTGAAATCGGACACCGTGTTAAAAAATTATCGCTGAACATACATACAAAATGAAGAGTTTGAGGATTTTCTCATGGACCCAATTATTAGATTTTGACTAAATTTATATGGGACCACCCCTGAAATACCCCCTTTCTAACAAAAAAAGAATCATTGAAATCGGACACCGTGTTCAAGAATAATCGCTGAACATACATTAAAAAAAAAAAAAAAAAAAAAAAAAAAAAAAAAAAAATATATCGCGACGAATTGATAACCATAACCTCCTCCTTTTTTTGAAGTCGGTTAAAAATGTAATTTCCCTTCCTAGTGATACAAATAACTAGGTCTTCATTAAATTGCAGGTTACTTTTTGTTCTAGGTAAATAAAGATCCAGCATTAAGAGCTCTATATCATAAAAAACTTCATAAAAATCGTTTTTTGACTTTAGAAAATGGGTTAGCAAGAGTTCAAGAAGGAAATTTTGCATTCCATACTGCTCTCAGTGTTAGTTACATCCACATTCTCAAAACTTTTACTAATTACGACATTTGTAAACTGCAGGAATTGCCTGGATATCTTAGTATTAATGTAAGGAAAAATATAAATAATTATGATTTTTTATTTAATTTGTATTTTACCTTTTAAATTTATAGAATGGCATGTATTTTGGGGCCCCAAAAACTTCACAATATAAGGAATTTTTAAAAATTGGGTAAGCAATATTTTAATTTTTAATTTTATTTATTTTAATTTCAGTTAGTATTCGTACCTTGAGTCGTTCTTATAGCAAATAGTCAATCCAATTCCTGTCAGAATGGACAAAAATACAAAAATAGCCGATACTTGGCAAAAACAACAAAGTTTGTTGACCTGACTTTTTCATTAGTGTTTGAATGTTATTGTAAATCATATATTAGTATTCATATATGCACGGTAAATATTAAATTATGTCATTTTTCAACTAAATCTGGGATTCCCAAAGTGGTCGATACCGACCCCTTGAGGTCGAAATGGGTTTCCCCGGGTCGACATAAACGAATACTGATTTTGTGGGTCGACGAGGTCTGAAAATTGACACCTATTAATTAATACATGTTCTTATTTGAAACTTTCAAGATACTGTATAAGTTGTGTTACGTGTACCAACTTTTTATAAGAACGACTAATATTTTAGTAGGAAGTATCCAGAGCTGTCACCTATCAGTGAGATTTAAATCATTTTTTGATTTAAATACATTTTTTGATTTAAATACTTTGATTTTAAATCTTTTTTAAAAAAATGATTTTTGATTTATGATTTAAATCTTTTTGAAAAGTATCTTTGATTTTTTATTTAAAATTAGATTTAAATCTTTTTAAAACGATTTAAATCTTTTTAAAACGATTTAAATCTTTTTAAAACGATTTAAATCTTTTTAAAACGATTTAAATCTTTTTAAAACGATTTAAAACGAATTAAAACTTTGAAAAAAAGTGATAAATCGTCAGAAAGGCACATAAAGAGAATTAATATGAGCAATAACACCGTTCAGAGATGAATAGAGAGATGGGTCGAGACGTGGAAAACATTTTAGGCAATTTCTTAAAGACCAACAGATTCTCTCCAGTTAGACGAGTACATTATCTGTTGTTAGGATATGTTCGACATAATATTAAAGATGAAAATATGTGCCAAGAACTGCTCTTTGGTACATATTTAGAGACTGATACCAGATGAGAATCGAGTTTTCAGACAGTAGAACATTTTTTAACCGATAAAGCTGTTCCATTGAAGAACATTGTTTCTGTTGCGACATGCTTGGTCGTCATCGTGGTTTTATAGCTCATTTCAAGCGACAACTGCCTGAGGTACTGATCATTCACTGTGTGATTCACAGACAGCATTTAGTAGCAAAAAAGTCCTAGATTGCACCAGTCTTTACGATATGTTATAAATGCTGTCAACAAGATTTGCAGCAATTCTTTGAACTCTCGGTTATTTGCTCAGCTATGTGAGGAAAAGGATGTCTTTACTTGGGTACTTTTTAAAAGGAAAGGCGTAGGAAGAAAAAAGAGGAGGAAAAGGAAAGGCGTAGGAAGGAAGAAGAGGAGGAGAAAGTAAGGCGAGAAGAGGAAAAGGAAAGGCACAGGAAGGACGAAGAAGACGAGAAGGAGGAGAGGCGTAGAAAAGAAGCGATTGAAATTATGAACGGTTTGCTACAAATCCAGGAAACCTTCAAGCAAGAGATTGGTCGGCTTAACAATAGAGTAGATCTTTTGACACAACAACAAGATATTTTAAAAACTAATGTAGAACAACAGCAAGATCATTTAAAAACCAATTTAGAACAACAACAAGAAAAGATAAGAGTAGAGTTAGAAAGGCAAATTAGAACTGAACTAGTTGAATTAGATAGAATAATTCGTAGCCTAGCTTTGGCAAGCAACAGAGAAACTGCAAACACCACCTCGTCCTCAGCTATAACTAAATCAAGCCACATACAAAACCCAGTTTCCCAAAGACATACTAGCAAGACCATTAAGCCACCCACGTTTGGTGGTTAGACAACATGGGAAACTTATCGACTCCAATTTGAAGCTGCAGCTAGAGCCAATAGCTGGACCGAGAAAGAGAAGGCGGCTTCAATGATAGTGTCGCTGCGAGGACAGGCAACAACCGCTTTACAGTTACTTCCCCAAGAAGAACCCAGGCAAGATATAGCTAGCAGCATTTGCAACGGGTATTCCAAAGCCAGCTAAAGGTTTGTAGTAAGAAACATAATGAGAGTATAGAGGAATTCGATGCCAACATAAGCATTTATTCATGGACTACAAGATGTGAAAATGCCCTTCGTCTACAACATCATAAGACGCTGAGGGAGAAACTGATTGCAGCCCAGAAATATGAAGCGGTAAAACTCCTGTCCAGAACTTCTCGCACAAAAGTGAAGGAAATTAAATCTCAGAAAAGTGAGGAGACCTACGAACTATGCAACGAAACAGCCAAAATGGAAGCAAGAGATGCTTCAATTGCCGAAGAATCGGGCATCTTCAAAGAAACTGTAGAAGCTTGGCTCATTCTATAAATCGAGAGGAATGAGACCGGAAAATCATATAGATCAATATTTTCAAGCCCGTCACTAAGACCAACAAGAAATAATTACAGCAGCTATGCGTCCCGAAGAAGCTAATCACCCACACCGAGCCGGCTTTCTAACAATAACCAGAAAGTAGAGCATCGAAGAGGTAGCAACGCAGACATTCTCTTCGGGCAACCCCGTTTAGAGGAACAATGTTGGTATGGTAAAAGGCTCGAAGAACGAGAAGAACCGGTTGATAACGTTACTGTTCGGGCAACCACTATCAAGCCGGAGGGCGACGAAGGAGAAATCACCCTTGAAAGTCTGAGACAGGGACGAAGAAAGACAATGACTTAAAGGTTGTCCGAGAATGGCTCAAAAATAAAGTCACACCTACTTGGCAAAAGATAGCCAAATACAGTAGAACTATAAAAGGCTACTGGACCCAGTGGGATTCCCTGTATCTTCACGATGGCCTATTGCTCCGGAAGTGGGAGAGCCCTGAAGGAGTACATATGTAGTCCGCCAAGTGATACTGCTGAAATCACAGATCAGAAATGTATTGGAGGAGCTTCATAGCAGCCGTTCAGGAGGACACTTTGATACTAAAAGGAAACTGGCACGAATTCGGGAAAGATTTTATAGGGTAAATTGCCGACGGGATATAGCGGATTGGTCTAAAAAATGTGATGTATGCAATGGCAGGACAAAAATCTATGGATTTGCTCAGGAACGAATGAAAGACCACACTGATAAAGCAGTAGCTACAATCGACATTCATGCCACAGGAACACATTTTGAGAGGGGCGATCCATTATGGCTATACAATCCCAAGCGTCGGAAAGGATTTTGTCAGAAACTACAACGGAACTGGGAAGGCCCCTACACCGTCCTCAAGAAAATCAACGGTCTGATCTACCGCATTCAGTTGTCATCGGGAAGTAAACCCAAGGTAGTTTACTTTGAAAAGTTAGCGCCATATCGTGGTCCGGATCCTCCCCGTTGGCTCCATCCAGGTCCCGGTAATCAAGTAACAATACCTAGTCAAAAAATCTGATGTGTCCAACACATGACTTTCCTATCTAGTTATTACAGGCTTTTTCCGTTTATTGTGTACAACCTATTGCAGCATCTCTATAAATGTTTAGAGGATAAACTAAATATATATACATTGTCCACATACATCTACCGCGAAACATTTTTCTATAGATATTCATTGAAAATGAAAATACTGAAAAATTTAAATTTAGCACTTTTCCTACAATTTTTCCATTACGGTCCATTTAAAAAAAATCATGTATAAACAAATATTATAAAGATCGATATCGCAAACAACTTTTATTTCAACAATTTTCATAAAAATCAGAATTTTGCACATTTTGTCAAATTTCTCGAATACGGACCATTTCAGGAAATTTTTACATAAGGCAAAAATTATAGATAATAATATTAGAAGTAACTTTTATTTGAACAATTTTCTTCTCTAAACATAAATAACAGATATATTCCATAAAATATATAAACGGCCTCCCATAAAGTACCCCCCAGATGTTCCGACTTTGTCCAAAATCTAATCATTTCACGTCAGGCCGAAATTTATTGATTTTTTCTTTATCCGTTTTTGAGTTTTCTTCAAATTTCGAAATTTACACATTTTCTCAAATATCTCGAATACGGTCCATTTTAGAGAAATTATCTATGGGACAAAAATTATAGAGAATTATATTACAAACAACTTTTGTTTGAACAATTTTTATAAAAAAAAATATTTTTTTACATTTTGTCAAATTTCTCGAATACGGACCATTTTAGGAAAATTTTGTAAATGACAAAAATTATAGATAATAAAATAAGAAGTAACTTTTATTTAAAAAATTTTCTTCCCCAAACGTAAATAACAGATATATTCCATAAAATATAAAAATGACCACCTATAAAGTACCCCCCCAGATGTTCCGACTCTGCCCAAAATCTAATCAGCTCATTAGACGCTGGAATAAAGCTTAAGTTTGAAATTTGGTGTTTTTCCGGTTCATGAGTTATGCGTTATACAGACACACACACACACACACAGACACACACACACACACACACACACACACACACAGACATCATCGCGAAAATAGTCAAAACGGATTCAGGGGACCTCAAAACGTAAAAATCCGTCGAAAACTCGAGGTCGAAAAAAATCATGATTCCTATACTTTCCTTATATCTGTATACAGATAGGAAAGTAAAAATGCTTCACTATGGTCACAAACATTTTGACAAAACAAAGAAACCGTTTGAAAAAACGAACGCGAAATGTAAGGCTGAAACTCACCAATATTGCACCAGATCTAGGTAGATTGGTAGATAGTTACCAGGTCCTCCATCAGACTGATTTCTTAATTTTTTCTCTACTTTGCGATTTTAATGTTTTGTTTATTTTTTTATTAATTACCTGCTTGATTATTTTTACGTAATTTGTATTAATAATTATTAATTACACTTGATATTTACTGAATTTTATGTCTATTTATTTTGTTAAATTTTGATGAAAAAATGATCAATAGAGAAAAAAGTAGAGATAGGATTTTTAAATTAAATTGGCTAGGGGGGTCTGAGGTATCAGTTCATTTTGGAAAACGGGTATCTTGCTCAAAATAGTTTGAGAATCCCTGAACTAAATACACAAAAAAAAAAAACTCTAAACACTCCAAAAAATAATACAAACTAAGCAATTATTTTTGAAGTGTGATAGTAGTGTAAAGCAATAGTAGTAGACGTAAATACTGGTTAATTCATAAAACGAATGATCGTTCCTCAGATGCTGCCACAAATTATAATCATTCAATTACCAGCTGTCTCCTTTTTTCTGATGAAGCAGCCGATGCGACAGCTCTGTCTGCGTAATAATAAACAATAAAAATCTGATGTGTCCAACACATGACTTTCCTATCTAGTTATATAAATGTTTAGAGGATAAACTAAATATATACATTGTCCACATACATCTACCTCGAAACATTTTTCTATAGATATTCATGGAAAACGAAAATACTGAAAAATTTTAATTTCCTACAATTTTTTCATTACGGTCCATTTTAGAAAAATCATGTATAAACAAAAATTATAGAGATCGATATCGCAAACAACTTTTATTTCAAAAACTTTCATAATAAAAATCAGAATTTTGCACATTTTGTCAAATTTCTCGAATACGGACCATTTCAGGAAATTTTTACATAAAACAAAAATTACAGATAATAATATTAGAAGTAACTTTTATTTGAACAATTTTCCTCTCCAAACATAAATAACAGATATATTCCATAAAATATAAAAACGGCCTCCCATAAAGTACCCCCCCAGATGTTCCGACTTTGTCCAAAATCTAATCGTTTCACGTCAGGCCGAAATAAACCTTAAGTTTAAAATTTAATGTTTTTTTCTTTATCTGTTTTTGAGTTTTTTTCAAAATTCGAAATTTACACATTTTCTCAAATATCTCGAATACGGTCCATTTTAGAGAAATTATGTAAAGAATAAAAATTATAGAGAATTATATTACAAACAACTTTTATTTAAACAATTTTTATAAAAAAATATTTTTTTTACATTTTGTCAAATTTCTCGAATACGGACCATTTTAGGAAAATTTTGTATAGAACAAAAATTATAGATAATAATATTGGAAGTAACTTTTATTTAAAGAATTTTCTTCTCCAAACGTAAATAACAGATATATTCCATAAAATATAAAAATGACCACCTATAAAGTACCCCCCCAAATGTTCCGACTCTGCCCAAAATCTAATCAGCTCATAAGACGCTGAAACAAAGCTTAAGTTTAAAATTTGGTGTTTTTCTGTGTATCGGTTCATGAGTTATGCGTTATACAGACACACACACAGACACACACACACACAGACATCATCGCGAAAATAGTCAAAACGGATTCAGGGGACCTCAAAACGTAAAAATCCGTCGAAAACTCGAGGTCGAAAAAAATCATGATTCCTATACTTTCCTTATATCTGTATACAGATAGGAAAGTAAAAAAGAGTCAAATTATGAATGAATGGATTAGTCTAGTAGTTTTTGGTCGTTGGTCTTTCCACTTTTTCAAGGACTAATAGTACGCTGACGTAGCGAAATTCAGTTACTCCTGGCAACACTGAAAAAAGTCCTACTCAAAGACACCTTTCACAAATTTCCTTCAGAGAACATATCACTTAGCTTGAATCGCGAATAGAGCAACGTTGATCTAAATTTACTATTTTGTACTACATCATATACACATATCGTAATATAAATAAGATTATAAACGAAAATATCATGTGCTATTACGCCTGACGTAATTTAACGTAATCTCACGTGACAATAATTATGTCCCTACCTTTAGTATATTCCCGAAATATAAATAGTGATTTGCGTATTTATTAGACCGAATCTTGAACATTTTGTGAACAGGCTTTGTTTCCTTTCGAAATTTTAACTAATTATCGTATATTCATTCCACAGACTATAACATTCGATGAATTCGTAGAGCTGGTAAAATGAACAAAGAAGATCCAAAATCTCTACATCCGTTCCATTTCTAAAAGAAACATTTGTTACCTATAATTTATAGGTATTGGCACTATAAAATCGAAAACTGATATCGATTTTCTAGATATCTTTATCTTTGTCGGTTGTAAGCAGGTAGGGTATTCCCCTGCTTTCTCCGTATTCAGGTACTATCTTTGGAATAGTCCTGTGTCTTTGGTTAATTTTAATAAGTTCCCTACCAAGTGTTCCCATCACATGAAGGTGTTTCAGCAAGCAGTGCCCCGTTAGTAATCCCACAATGGTGGATATCTGAGGGCTTCAGTAGCCACGCTTGGGTTTGGTCTCCTTAGCATGAGCTTACTGATTCTGTGCCCTTTTATCTGTTGCCAGTGAATTTGGTGTTTTTTGGTTATCCACCTGTTCACTGCCTATCGAGCAGAGGTTCTGCTTATCCCAAATACAGGTTCGGATCCTGTGAATGGTAGATCTGATCCCTCTTTGGCGAGTTCATCAGCCTTTTCAATTCCTTGGATACCTTTGTGCCCTGGTATCCACGCTAGTGTTACCTTGTTTTACCTAGATATAAGAAATCTATAGATTTTATCAGTCGTTTTAATACTAAATGCAGTGGCGGCTGGAGGCCTAGTCTACGGGAAGGCTATTTTTAAAAGGCACTTAAGATATAAGAAATTTATCAAAACTTACCAATCGTAATCTGGTATGCAGTCCCTGGCAATCAATATATTTTGGTAGTATTTCTCTAATTTAGAACCCTTTATTTATCATATTCTAAGTTTTTGGTTTTATCACTTTTTCGTCAAAATTGTCGAACGTATGTACAAGTATTATTTTCGTCACATTTATCTTTTAATTCATTACAACGCTTGTCTAATTCGTTAAAACATATATCCACTTGTTTTTATTATTCACTTGCCTTAAAAATTTTGAAACTTCGTTTATAACTTTTGTATGCATAAAATGTTATAGGTAGGCAACTTGAAAAATTTAACGACATCGCTATCTCCACATATTTAATAATTTACTACATAACAAGTGGTAGCCGTGTTTTTAAAACAATATTTTTAACAAAAAACTAACGACTTTACAAGGAAATTAAGAGAAAACTGTTAAATATACATACAGGGTGTTTCCGAACTTGGCGTCCAAATTTGTAGGGGTGGTAGTTTTCATAATTTGAGAGCGATTGGCAGATTTCATTTTTCTAAAAAAATTATAATAAACAAAATAGAGCCATTATAAAAAAAATCAAAAAGCGGGTCCTACCCTGAGCGCGTAGCGCAATAGTCGCCTGATAGGTTACTCATCGGGATTTACAACTCAAAAACAGGTGCGATTTGCAAATTTCTCCCTCCGCCAGGCCGGTATCGAAAGACGTAGCCGATTGTTTAAAATTTTTAATATTTTTATTTTAAATATTTTGGAAAAATGAAATCTGCGAATCGGTCTCAAATCATGCGAACTACCACCCCTACAAATTTGGACGCCAAGTTCGGAAACACCCTGTATATGATTCAATAAAAGTAACTAACACAAAACTGGTATTTCAAACAACTTTAAATTAATCAAAAATACACAACAAATCAAGACTGTCACGTATAGAACAGACGGTAAAGAAGTTTATGTATCTATAAACGGCCATCTTGCTTTATCTATATCTATAAACTGCTGGAAAGTAGAAATTTTCGTAGCCCTCTAACATATAAAAATTTCGTATCTGAGACCTACGAGTGACGTCGTCCAATCTGACAGCTCGTATACGTCAATTGAAGGTGCCACAACTTTTAGACCTGCCAGCCAGTAACATCAGCTAACGGAAATATATTCAAAGCCAGGGACGACTGTCAGATTATGATCTGAACAAATAAAAATAAAGGAGCCATATAAAACCTATAAATAGACTTGGAATATTTTATAGTGGGGGGATGTAGCCCTAAAGCCCTTTTAGACAAGCCGCCACTGACTGAATGATAGAGGGGTCTATTCTGTAACAATTCCTTTATATTTAACGGTCTTTAAAAATATTGGCGGCCTTTAAAAGTATATTTGTATTCGTTAATTTACTTTTGTCATTATTTAAACAGATTTCTTTAAGATAGTACTCTAATGTATTTTAAAGATCCGTTTAAATAATGACAGAAGTAAAGAAGAAAATATTTTTAAAGGCCGTTAAATATAAAGGAATTGTTACAGGATAGACCCCAGAGTACTCTTATTCCTAATTGATTTTTATTATTTCTAGAATTATGCGAACATATGAAGTGGGACTAGCAATAAGAAATAAGTACAAGCAGTCTAGAAAACCAAAATGTTATAATGAAGCAGGAAATTTTCAGTCTGTGGGAATTTATGATTGTTACACAATTTTTAAATTATTTTGTATAGGAAGTTTCTTATCTTTTTTTGTTCTAGCTATAGAGGTTGTCACGCACAAATATTTACAGAAATTGAAGAAAAAATATGCCATTTTGACAACCCGGCATGGCTAAATGTTTAGCTATAGTTATAGGAATTTTTAACTGTCAGTTATTTATAGGTACACTGAATAGTTATAAAAAATAAAACACATGCAAAATCAAAAATGTGTTGTATTTTAATTCCTTCAGTAAATTACTAGCTATACTATTACAATTTTTAAATGATGGTGACTCATCGAAGGATTATGGTAGTGATAATGCGAGAAGAGTTGATAGCCATCAGAACAGACGAGGAGCTTAAGCAGAAATTCAACCAAGGCTATCAGAAGTTCTGGTTGCACCGCAACATTAAAACACAGTACCCTGAATTGTAAAAAATTGCTGAAAAATACCTTATCGCTTTTCCATCATCATATCTAGTCGAAAAAGGCTTCTGTATGGTTACAAACATTTTGATAAAACAAAGAAACGGTTTGAAAATCAATGAACGCAGATATTTTTAAGGCTGCAACTCACCAATATTGAACCAAATTGAGCTAGATTAGTAAAAAGTCACGGTATTCATCCATCACACTGAATTTTTATCTTTACTTTGAAATTTTAATGTTGTTTTTTTTACATAATTTGTCTTAATAATTATTAAATACACTTGATATTTACTGAATTTTATGTCTCTTGTCCAAAATAGTTTGGGAATCCCTGGTTTAGTCAATGATTTTAACATTGTATATTTTAGTAAACTCCATGGATGGTGGTGTGGTTGCATAAATTCGGGCTGCTTAAATCGAATGAAGTCGCCATCTGTTTATCCGTGCCCTCTATTATTGGAAATCAAAACTAAAAAGTCGACAAATTTTTAAAACGAGGCGGGTGGCGGCTTTCAAGGTTGATTCATTTGTAAATTATTTTGTAGTTTCCTGCACAATATTGTGGTTTTCTGTTCTAAAATACTAGACATTTATTTATGTATAAATAAACATTCATTAAATATAAAACTGATTGGGTCTGGTCTGGGTCGCATTTACCAATCGTGTAAACTTTTTAATCATGTAATTATTGCGTGATCAAAATACTCGTTTAAAAACCGATTGGTTGAATATTATTAACATGCTGACACCCAGACGAGTAAGTAGACTAGTGCGATTTAGTTATCAGTGAACACGAATGCAATCGTGATATCGTGATTAATTGACGGAATCGAAATATCAACATTGGGGATCTTCCTAAAAGATACTCCATTTGATATAAATTAATCAAAAATAAATGGTTGCTCATTGTTAGCTGATTGAGTTGTGATATTCAATTTCAACAATGGCTTTACAACGTATGACTGTTTTGGCTATCAAAAATGGATTTAAAAGTTTTGCCGATGGAGTTGAATCAAAACGCTCGAAAGTGGTAAGTTTTTATTTTGCAAAATTTACGTACCGGTTTGTGTGTAAATAAAGGACAAGTTCATGACCCTAATAAAATTGAATGGTTAAGCAGAAGTGCCCTTATATGAAATCAAAATTAAAACTAAAAACTCTTCAGTCTTTGTTAATTTTCTAGCACAGAATACCTACTAAGTTATAATACTCATCTAGAATATAAAAGAGTTTCATATAGGTATTACATTCTTTGTTACTTGAATTTTAAATTTAAAATATAATCCCACAGGTACTTAAATTTCAAAGTAAATACACCAATGTAAATGTAAACAATACTATTTTAACAAAATACATGTGTAATTACTGAGCTAGATAATGGAATAATTATGATTAAACTGTTTTGTAATAATAATTGTAAAAACATTTATAATGTAGATAGGTATTTAGCCATCATTAAAATTGAACATGTTGCTATTTCTGTGCCAAACAAAGACTTTTATTTTTGGTGCAACCTAACCTAAACCTACTTTAGAAGACAAAGAGAGAAACCTAGCATGTTCTAATCAGATATGTACTTATGTGGTAAGAACATTTTTGAAGATTTTTTAGAAAAATAGCAGATACTATAGAGTCTTATCAGTTTTGTACAGGCTATTCCATCGATATGCTAATTTAATGATGTAATTTTTGTTCCACTGACAATTACAGTGACAATAGACTTTTGTTAATTTTTTTTTAATTAAGTTATATAGTTTTTTTAAATTTTTTGAATATATTCCTAAAATATAAGTACCTATAGATAACATGTATCAAATATAATTGTAGTTAACAATTACATGCCCATTACTGACTCTACTTCTAGCCATGAACAAACTAAGGCAACACCACAGTGAGCAAAAACATCCAGTCTAAGTTTCGATATGGGCCTTTTCATATCACTTGATTTATTAGAACATTCGTTATGCTCCTTTTTTTCTTTTAATATGTGATTTTATGGGAGTAGGTGCAGGTTTTCACAAATATTTAGGCAGATTTGTGAAATTTCAGGGGCATGCATTTTGTTTAAGATTAGCTTTTACAGAATTTTTTATTAAATTTCCATTGGGTTGCAAACTATTGTCCAGTATAATTTAACTTTCAGGAAATTTTTCACAACAAACTACTGAGGAATAAATTTAGCCCTAGAATTGCATTTAACCATTTTTGCCTTAAATTGGAGTATGCTTCTATAATTTGGTCACCACATTATCATATACACTGTCTAGCAGTGGAAAGAATACAAAATAAATTTCTAAGATACTGTGCCTTCAAATTAAATATTCAGGTAACCGATCACAATTATACTAGGACTTGAAATGAATATGAGCTGACTTATATCAGATTTGAATTTTATCTATAGATTATTAAATGGTCTAGTCATAAGCCCAGAACTCTTATTCTTTTAATTCTTTCAATATTCCTAATAGTGTCCTTAGGCAATTAAATATGTTCCATGTTCCATTTTACAATACAAACTATGGCATGCATTTACCTATTGAAAGAACATTGAGGGTAATAAATCAATTGAATCTTGAGGTTACAGGCATTTCTTTTAAGAAATTTAAGGCAATCTGTATGAATACACTTGAAAAAAGTGAAATATTACAGATTTACAATACTTAAAACACATGTATTAATCTAAAACTTATTTGACATAATTTTTACTTTTTTTCTCGCTTGTATTTTTTAATTTATAATTTACAATTATCTGTATAATTTATGTGTTTTGCTTTGTAATGGGGTTGATCCCATTTAAATAAATAAATAAATTATTGTACTACTGTGTCTTTTCATGGTCATTGTATGTTGTTTTCGTTATTATAATAATTATCATTGTGTTTTTATTTTCTTTTCTAAATATAGTTGTCTAGACTTTTTTCTTTCGTTTTTATAAGTACTGTTGCTTCTGTTTTTCATCTTTCATGGGTGGTGGAGGTGGGCAACCAGAGTCAATTTTTATTGTGGCTCATAATGAAATTTCAGACAATAATTTGGTTCAAGACGAAAGTGTAGTAAACACAGTTTTAGCTTTTATAAGTGTTCTGGGCTGCATTAAGTAAGCTGCTCAGTAGGTAGTTATCTAAGAGAGATGTTTTTTCCTATGACCACTTAGGAAAGTGACACATATCGCTTAATTTAGCCTTGTGTGTTAATATGAATCTACTTTCCGCATCAGATGTCAAATATGTCAAACCCAGCATTTCCATTTTGATTTATGTAAGGTCCATATTAACAGTAAAATCGATGATTAAATTGTTAACATAGCTTTTTAAACCTAGATCCTAGATTAAAAGTGATTTTTCACACTTTTGTGATTGTCGCACTGGACTTAAGAAAAATTTTAAATGTTTTACAGCTGGTTGCAAAGACGTTTATTAAAATGTATGAGCCTGATAAACTTCGACGTAAATTGGTATTGTGATCAGTCTGAATGACATGAACTTCAAGAGAAGAAGAAAAAATCTTCATGGGGATAATCCCAAAGGTCTATCGACCGGAGTCTTTCTGCCCATATAAGAATCGAATAATTGAAAAGAATCGATTAATTGAAAATAATCGTTTAATCGGAAATAATCGAATATACGAAAAGAATCGATTAGCCGAAAAGAATCGATTAATCAAAAAGAATTGATTAATCAAAAAGAATTGATTAATCAAAAAGAATTGATTAATCAAAAAGAATCGATTAATCGATAATAACTAATTATTTATTTTGATAATCGCCCGGCCCTAACGGTTTTAGCAATAATTTTTAGCAACAAAATTATTTAAATAGGAAGTTTTATTGGAGTAATTGAATTTTTTTAATTTATAGAAATCTACTAAAACTAGCCAAAAAAGCTGAAAATTAACAAAAAAACAGACATCTACTAAATGTGGCAACGTTGGATTAAAGGCCCCCAGTCAGAGTGACCAAGCACAATGACTAATCGTTGAACCAAGTTAACTATCGTGGCCTAATCTACGTGCAAAATGATGCTAAAAATAGCGTGGTTTCAAGCAGGCACACTGTTTGTTTCACGGATCTGTTGACCTCTCTTTTTCACTACAGGCATTCGAAGAAGCCTCTCGCGTCATTCAACATATTGCACCGACAGACGCGATTAGCCAGAGCGCAGTAAGATACAAAAAAATAGAGATTAACACGTACGAGAATAATAAATATATTGAAATTAAATTTATATTTTTAAGTTATTTATGTTATTTTAAAATAATGAGTTTTTATGAAATTTAACTGGGTGTTCACTGCACAAATGAACCAATGGAGAAACTGTCCCTGTTCTTCAGTATAATTCATAAATTTAGAAAAACATTCAATATGTCTAGTATTAGCGGTAACGAGATAAAATAATGAACGTCCAACAGAAAGCTCAAGCTGCCACAATCAATTACCAGTGAAATCTAGAGAAAGTTACGAATTAATACCAAAAAGGTATGCATTTAGTCCAATTTTGGAGGAAATACAGGAATTTTTGATATAAGTCACTTTAGAGTATTTGAAAACGATAGGTAAAAAAAAATTTATTTTTCAGGCTCCGGCAAATGGCGGAAAACAAGAAAATAAAGTGTTTTTTTAAGATAATTTAAAAACGGTAGGTGCTATAAAAAAAAGTTCTTAATAAAAATTCGAGAGACGCTAAAATGGTGGTTCCCACCTTATCGAGACTGAGGAAGGGTAAATTCGTAGCGTAACAAAAACGAGAAATGATTTAACTTGGAACGAAATACCGAAAGCCGATAGTAGTATTAGCATGTTAAATTTTTTGGTTTGTGAAGCCTTGACATTACTTAGGTTAAACCATGTGATGATTTTCACAAGCCTTGATTTTTGAAACTTTCTATATCGCCTTTTGATTAGGGTTTAAAAACTTGTTTATCCAATAATAATTGGCCCCTTTACTTCTTAAGCCTGCTCATGTAAAATATTTGGGCTTCTTCTTCGCCTATTTATATTCTATTAATAAAGGACAGAAGGATGAGTATTGCAACTATGTTAAAAGAAATAAATTGGCTTTCAGTTCAGAATTATGTTCAGTACATGACTGATATTTATTTATAAAATAAAAATGACATAGTACCATCGCATCAGATCTATTAGAAACAATTCAATATAATTCGCAATGTCACAACTATAATACAAGAAACCAATCTGACTTTCATGTACGGCAAGCCATCACTAAAAGTTCCCAAAATACAATTTTTATTAAAGGTTTAAAAAATTTAATAGACTGCCTACACCAATTAAAAAAAAAACAATAAATGTGTTCAAAAGTAACCTCAAACAATACTTGATAAATAAACAGAACGGATATACTTTCTTGTGATAATACTCTTTAAACCTGCCCTTTTTAAGTATTTCCCTTAATTTATTGTTATTTTACCCCTCGTTTTATCCGCATTTATTATAGATTATTTGTTTTGAGATAATGTACTTTATTTTAAAAAATTACTTGATGTTATATTAATACTACTTACTATGTTTAAATTATTAATAGTTTTGTGACGATATGTTATAGCAACTTATAGCCACAAAACTATTTTTGTGTTAAAGTAGATCCATAGAGAGCAATGTAATTTACATAGGCCTTCTTTCAACATACAAATAAATGACAACTTTATAATTAAAATGAAAAACAACAAAATACCTGGGTATCATAATTGATCCAAATTTGAAATGGGCATTATATCGTCTCTTTTATATAATAAAAAAGTGCTTTGTATAAGAACATTATATTATCTGTCTTTATTTATGGAAAGCCTGAATTGAGATATTTATTATTTGCAATAAATCACAGTTGACATCTTGATACTTAACAGGCACAGCCAAGCATTATTTTGATTTTTGCCAAATAAAATGGCCGGTTAATTATTCTATGAGGTTGCGACAGAGAATCAGTAAATTTGATGGTGTTTTTGTGGCTAGGGGCGAAATAGTAGTACGCTTAATAGCACCACCATAAAAAAGTAATTTTTAAGAAATTGCTTATA